CAATTTCATATAGCACAATGACATATTTGGACCTTTTCCGTAAAATTTAAGATTATATTTATTTCATATTTGGTTTGTGAGTACTAGTCAACACCGGTTAATTTTACATCAAAATGATAGTATTAATTATTTCATATATAGGAGGTGAGATGAGTAATTACATGAGATATTTTAAAATTATAATCTCATGGGATATCTCATAACTGAACCAATTGACCCCATTTATGTCTTATCATGTGCTTATTTTATACTCGCCCTAAAACTATAAATAGTACTTCATCCACCCTATTTTACGTGATTCAATTTGATTGGGCATGAAGTTTAAAATCTGTAATTTAAAACAAGTCATAAATATTTATGTGATCATAAATTATCTCATTATATGTGAATTAAAATTTTTAAAGTTAAATAATATTTAAATATGAAAAGGTCATTTAGAATATAGTAAAAAGGAAAGTGCATAACATAAATTATTTTTGGATCAGATTATTGATTTTGAGGACTGTTATGAGGTTTCGAAAACCTTAATTCTTAATGAACATCTTTGAATTACCAACGAAGATAAGTATTCCTTTTGTATATGGCGAGCTCTTATCCTTCCTTCGAAATCTGTCTGGCTATTGTGTTGATTAGAGGGAGTAAGTTCTATGCTAATTATTACCAGTTAGGCAGTTACCTATAATTTAGTCTAGTTTTTCTTTTATTTAAATATCTTCTTTCATCCTATTGCTTGTATGTGTGTTCTTGTTTCATTTCAATTGGGTCTTGTGTTATTTTCTAGCTGTCGCATCTTTGCTTCATTTTTCCAACCCGTAATTACACAATCGTAAATAATAACAGCTGAAACTTTCTGATAATAATGATATTTATATCCCAATTTTGACTAATTAATTTGAAATTCGATAGCTGGGGAATAGGAGAGACAGGCCAAACTTTATTTCCTCTATATAGTAGTAGGTTTTATTGTTTGCCTTCTTTTGTTTTGCCGTTGTTGGCATCCCAGTTCAATTAAGTTGCATAATGATCATTTATGTAATTAATAATGATAATTGAATGAAAGAAAAGGAAAAGTGAAGAGCACTAAGAAATAATGGAAGTGGATAGGTAGTTGAATGCAATAAAAGATTCATTATATCCAAATGAGAATAGAATGGTTGATTTGATGTTGCAATTTGTGGTATTTCCAACTCTTGACAACTCAAAAGGGCCAGTCTGAAGAAAGGACTAATGAGATGGACATCCCCACTCCTAATTAACTATACCTGCAATTTTTTGGTAATATAGATGAATTTATAATTGTAAGTTTAAAGGATATTGCCGAATTCACCTTATATTTGTTTGTAAAAGTACATTTGAATTAAGTGTGTATATATTACTTCCTTCGTGTCAATTTAAAAAAGAAAGCAAAGTTTTTTTAAACTTATGACTTTAAATATGCCTTAAGATTTTTGTGACTATAAAAGCATGCAATTAAGGATAAACATTAAAGATTCAAAGTTAAATTATTTTTCTATAATAAAAGAAATTATTCTTTTTAAAAAGAATTAATTCCACATAAAATGAAATTGAGGTATATATAATATAATTGGAGTTAAAGAGCATTGATACGTCACTTTATTGGCTTCAATCTATATTTGTCCCTATGCATAAAAAGAGATGGAGATAGATAGAGAAAGATGGATAGCTTTCAAATCCATAACCACAAGACTTTTATGCCACAATGAATGACCAAGTTGTATGTTGCTGGCTGCAGCAGCTTCTACTTTTTGTTGCCAAAGCTGTTTCTCTGCACTGGACACGATTTTGCTACCTCTACTAAACACATATTTCGTAAACGTCTTGTCTTTTTCCTTCTTTGCTAAAGTACTTTCATTTTTATACCATATCAAGGGTTAATTTCCTCTATAGAATTAATTGTGCAATTAACTATTTAGCCTAACTTATATTTATCCATACTTCCACATTCTACGCTCTTTAAGCTTCTTTATAATTTATTAATTATGTTGTCCGAATAAGTGGCGGAAGCATCATTTTTACCCAGAGAATTTAAAAAATAAAAAAAGTTAAAGCGTGCGAAAAAGTTAAGGAGATTCAACATCAATATATATACATGAAAAAAATATTATTCTTTGTGTATATAATTTTCAGCGAAGGGGTAGGTTGAACCCCCTTGCGCCCACCTAGCTTCGCTCCGGATTCGAGTCAACTCGTGCATATCTTGACTAATTTCACGGATTACCTATTTATGCTTAATTCTGCAAACAATTTCACATATTTATATTTATATAAAAAAAACTACTACTTTTATTAAACCAACAATAATAATATATTCTTTCTGTCCATTCTCATAGGTACTTCTTTCTTGCATTCATTCTTTTTCTGAATTTAGGGATGGAGTTATATGGTTTGTAAAGGGTTCAACTGAATCCCCTTGTGGAAGTATCATGCTGGGAAAAGATGTAGCAACTTTTTTTATAACTATGACTTTCTATATATATATATATATGCACGTATATATTGCTGAATTTTCGTTGCAGAAGAGAAACTTCTAATGTAATGACAAATATCATTCGAGTATGCTTTAGATTGTAAGTTTGAATCTCAAGTTGCATTTTCGCATTGGATCCCCTTGTTAGATTTCCTAATCTTGTCACTGCTTGAATGACTACATATGCAACTTCCTCTATTTCAAACGATGTTCTCTCCTTTGTTTAGCATAACCATGAGAGTAGAAATCACCAATTACAATAAAAAGCAAATACTGAAGATATTTTAGATATAGACAATTTACATCATTACTTTCTTAGAATATTTCTTGATGATGGAAACTAATAAAATCAAGTGGGTGCGAAAAATTAGTTGAACTTCCCTAACTTGAGTAAATTAAATTTTTACATGTCCAGTTGAGTGTTGACCTGCAATATTTTTCATGATAGTGAATATATTGTGTGAATTTTGGTAATTCATTGGTTAGCCTATAATCTACAAGCATAAGTATCAAGTATATCTGCTTACTAAAATTGATTAAATGAGTAATTTGTATTTTGTACATAACTCGAAAACCAACAAGATGGTATGGAAACAATAACTCAAAAAGTTGATAGATATGAATACAGTCAATGCACTAAAGTTTGAAGTACAAGTAATCAATGCCAAGGGTACATGGTGAGCTCCAGCTGTTAGGTGTGACATAAGGTGACTTCATCCTTACGAAGCACGAAACTCTTTTTACCACTTTTCAGTTTTGTGTGGCCTAATTTTTAATTTCATTTAACATTAACAAAACTTTCTTAACTTTCTGGTCCAAAATTTACCCAATTCATGCTTTTGAAATCCTACCACCGTCCAGTAATTTCTGCCCACAAATTCTACTTCTTCTTCTTTTTTTTCACTTTCAGTCTCTGCAATATGAAAATGATTTCAACTTTCTCCAAAACAATGGAATAAAACGACGACATAGTCATATAGTATGAGGAAAATTAGGAATTAATTTTTTTTTTAAAAAGAAAAATAATTAAATATTACTCTTCTTTTTCCCCAAAAAGAATTATAGTACACAAAATAAAAAATCAATATCATACATAAAATATTGTATTAGGAGTAATTAATTAGTAATATTTAAACTTAAAAGAAAACTTATGTCCAATGAGTTACACGTGTACGATAATCACTGTCAAAAAGTTCGAGGTCTTTCCAATTAAAATCAGACTTCGAATTATTGAGTTTTGCACATTCGGAGAGAGATATATCACAAGACATATAACTTTGTTATCAATGATACTGAATTCAAAATGATAAATTTCTTATGACATCATCTTACCATTTGAGCTAAAAATATAATCCAGAATAATGTACATTTCAATTTAGCAGTTGAATCTTATGGATCGACACCTAAATTAAAAGTATCTTTCTTTTAGGCAACTAAATTGAAGTATACGCCCCAAAGTAATGGAAAAAGGAAGGAAACATGATTATATGTCTAAATATTAACCTCCCCATCCCCCCCCCCCCCCCCCACACACACACAAAAAAAGAAGTGAAAATTGATAGGGACGAAGAAGTTTAGTAGTGGTTTTAACATGTAGGATAACCACCAAACAAATGGCACGAGGAACTAATCTCAATTCAGCTGTGAATTCCTTATTGTCTATACGTAACTTAATCTTTTCAAGGAGAAACGAAGACATGCACTTAAGGGTAAATTCTTAACACGCAGAATTGTTTGGTTATTAAATAATTTTGGTATAAAATTTTATATTGTTTTATTAATTCAGTGTTTAGTTATGCTTTAAATTTTACTAATTAGTTAATCAAAGTATAATTTAATACAGCAATTGGTATATTATTTATACCTAATATAACATGGGATAACAATAATGTTAAGTAATATATGGATTAAACACTAAAAGTCAAAATTATCTTTTGTTTGTTCTTGAAACCCATCTTCAGCATTCAATATATCCAATTTTTTAATATAAAAGCTAATTGCCTTAGAAAAAATAATATCTACGTTACAATCCTTATATTACTAATTTATGCTCTACTAATTTTTGTATAAAAGTTAATACAATTTTATAACTTGTTCTAAATCAAACAACCTGTTAGTGTTCGAATCAGACTGACAAATAAAATGTATTATTGCTTTAAAATGTGATTCTTCAATTAAATTATTATATTTTGTACAAACACCAAGCTGAGATATATAGGGGCACAACTCCTATAGTCATATGTATCTCACGGGTTGTAATTGTTTTCTATACATATAATATAATATATATATATATATATAAGAAACTTATTAAATATTTAATTTTAAACTCAATTATTATATATATTAATATAAGATCGCTACAAAATCATAAATTTTAAATTGTGAATCCATTTAGATAAAATGAGCACCTAAATAGATAGTGTACTTATTTGAAAAGAGAACGTCAAAGCAAAGGAGATTGAGTCTAATATACGCAAAATGGCTCGTCCATATTCTATTCCCTTATCTTTCTAAATAAATTCTAACATCCCCTCTCCTTTCTTCAACATCCCCATTACTATAAAGAAACCACGTTTTCCCCCTTAACATACCACACCACCGTACCTACTTTTCTTCTTCTTTCTGTTTATTCTTCTTGTTCTTGTCTCTCTTCCTTTTTTTTGTCTATTAACTCATTCCACAAGTTGCAAATGGCAGACTTTGAATAATATTAAGTACTTATATATTGATTTCTTCTTCTTCTTCTTCTTTGTGGATGGAGAAGCTTAGTTTTGTGAAAAATGGTGTACTGAGATTGCCTCCTGGATTTAGGTTTCGTCCAACTGATGAAGAGCTTGTAGTTCAGTATTTAAAGCGTAAGGTCTTGTCTTTCCCCTTGCCAGCCTCCATTATCCCTGAGGTGGAAATTCACAAGTCTGATCCTTGGGATTTGCCAGGTGAGTTCATACCCAAAATTAAAATTAGCTCAATACCAAATAAATGTTTTTATGTCCCAAAGCATTGGAGTAAAACTGTTTTCTTTTTCAAATTAATGGCATAATTAATCTAAAGTAGTGTCAAGTATATCCGCTTAAGGAATAAAATGTTCCCTATTGGCCCAAAACTGTTTTTTTTAAAAGAAAAATTATTGAAGTTATGATTTTGAGCAGAGGTGGCTAATTGGCAGGTTATCTCAAATTTGGACATGTCAAACGAGTCAAAACAATAAAATTATCATGACCCAACTTGTGCAAAGTATATTTGGATCAAAAAATGATTAAAGCATCATAACTCACCCACCGAATTGAAAATAATTTGTGAAAGGAAGTAGTACACTAGGGGAAAAAAAGAAAGTAAATTCAAAGCAAAAGAAACTTGATCATCTAGGATAAGGAAGGTAGAGGGCAATTTCTTTACAGACAGTGAAAAGAGTTGTTTGTTCTGTTCAATAGCTGATAAGGGGAACTGATCGAATTTGTATTTTGAACTTGAGTTCAGGTGATTCAGAGCAAGAAAGGTACTTCTTTAGCACAAGGGAGGTGAAGTATCCAAATGGGAACAGGTCAAATAGAGCAACAAACTCAGGTTATTGGAAGGCAACTGGAATTGACAAGCAAATAGTGAGTTGCAAGGGCCAACAATTGGTAGGATTGAAGAAAACTCTTGTCTTCTATAGAGGAAAATCTCCACATGGTTGCAGAACCAATTGGATTATGCACGAATATCGTCTTGCTAATCTTGAAACCACTTCCATCCAAGCCAAGAACAACCTTACGCAGGTGAATTTTAGTTGAAAGTTTTGATTATTTTAGGCTCCCCTACTTTTCCTTTCCAAATCTTGAAAGTGGTTATTTGTGCACCTTTTCTTTTACTCCCTCTTTTTACCTTTTACTACCTCCAAACGTTTTTTTTTTATAAAAAATAATCTTAAATAATTACTTTTGCTTTTTTAATTTAATTGAGCTAGTTTGACTCAGCACAGTATTTAAGAAAAAAAAAATTTGAAACTTGTGCTCTTACAAATTTTAAGGCTTAAATTTGTGGGACAATGACATTTGTGTGGTTATAAAAGTTTTTTGGCAAAATAGTTAAAATAAATAGTTTAAAGTTTGAATTATTTTTAATTGTAAAAATGTGTCATTCTTTTTTGAAGGGATTAAAAAGGAAAAGTATGTAATCTAAATTGAAAGGAAATATTATCTTTCTATATTTAAAAATTCTTCACTTATTCTTATGTTATTATGATCATCGTTTTCTTGTGCGTGTTTGCTTGTTTACCAATAATTCTTTTTTTTTTCCTTAAACACTATCATATACTCTGTGTCCCACTACTTTCTTGTTAATTTACCCCAAGAAAATGACATTTTTTGTTTTTATATTTTGAAATAAATTTTTTATTCCACTCTTTTAATAACATAAAAATCATTTTTTCTTGGAATCAAACACAGACAGATATTAACTTGGTGAGTGTGCTGCAGGAAAAGTGGGTTCTCTGCCGCATATTCTTAAAGAGAAGAGATAGTAAAAATGAGGAGGAGAACATAACACATGAGGTTTTTAATAGCAGAAACACAAGAGCAAATTCAGGGAATAAGAAGAAGCCAGTGTTTTACGATTTTATGGCGAGAGAGGGGGAGGATTTGAATGGATCAGTTGCAGCTTCAACATCATTTTCTGGTTCCAGTGGCATCACTCATGAGCTCACTACTAATGAATCTGATGATCACGAAGAAAGTAGCAGTTTTACTACTTTTAGAAGAAAACAATGGCCTTAGAATCAATGGCCTTTCACTTTTTTTCTTTTTCTTATTTTTACCCTAATTTCAAGTGCTAAATTAGATTGCATTCCATTGGAATAAGCATCTAGATTTCGACTTTCTTCATCTCATCACTATATCGGAGCAAATTAAAAGAGACCCGATAAAAATTACTCCAATTAATATGAATAAATATAAATATACAACACATGCCGATTCAAAACTTTTAGTCATTAGATGCGCCCATTTCTGTAGCAGTTTTGGAACTTAATATTTACAGAAAACATTTTAACTAGTAGTACTATATAAGACAAGCGAATAATGGTTGTGACTGCATCTGCGAGAAACTAAAATGGGCATTTGGCATTGGAATACCGAATGTCTGTAAATTATATTTTCAATTTCAAGTGTCAGCAAAGAATGTATGTATGTACTCAATTCAAAATAAACTTGGGTTTTATTTGGCAGACACATGTTTGACCATAGAATTTGCTTATATTTTGGCAAAATCCCAAATTCCAAATCTCAAAATCAGCTTAATAGTTGGTTTTGGGCCAAATCCCTAATAATACATATGTTTTTCCAAAATAAATTTGGAAAATATGTTTTGAAAACGTATCTCCAAATACATTTTCATCTTCAAGCCAAATTTCACCCAAAACAGATTTTTCAAAATAAATTTGGGAATATATGACCAAACGCAAGCTAAGATTTTCGTTAGACGACGTTTTCAGCAAGTATGGGAGAGTAAGAAGAGATAAAAGAAAAGAAATAGACCACTGACTGCAGTAGAAAAAACTTTTAAGTAAAACTAAACGATGAGAAAGAAAGAGGGAGAGAAAAGAGCACATTGACACACGCTTGCTCGAAAAGGGATTTTTATTTGAAGTACCAAATGAATAAGGATATAATCTTTGCAAGATCACCTATCCCTTCTCTGGAACCTAGAAAAGACTTTCTTTATACTTACTTTTTATTAAAATTAATTAAAGAACTCACTTCTATGCTAGATGCTGATTCCTTCACATGATTAATACTAACACATAAAGAAATCCCCTCTTACAACGTCGTCGAATTGATAGCGTTAAATCAAAGTCGTATAGGAGCTTAGTTACAGTTACTGATAGGTGAACGAAAGCAAACAAATCCATTTCTTCTATTCAAACATACTTAGACCTTGTTTGGAAAGGCACCTGAGAATTGGATTTGAGTGTAATTACACAGTTTGACATGTTTGTTTGGCCAAATAATTACTTGGTCGACATGGAATTGGGTGTAATTAGAGATATGTAATTACACTCTCTAAATTCTCAAGGGGAGGATGAGAATTGGTGATAATTAGATTGTGTAATTACAAGGTTACTTTGTAATTTCTTTCTCTCTTTTTTTTCTTTTTTTTTTCTTTTAATTTATTTTCTTTATAATTTTTTATTTCCATTATTTTAATTTCTTTTTATTTTATTTTTACTTTTAAATTTATTTTTTAATTTTAAAATCTATTTTTCTTTGTACATTATTTATTTTTTTATTTCTCTACCTTTACTTCTTTGTAATTCCATGTAATTGCTCGTATATTTTATTTTCTTTATTTAGCATAACTGTGTTATTATTCTAGTTTTTGAAACTACACCTCCTATTATTAGAAATAACTAGTCACATGGTACGCGCTTTGCGCATGTACTTTATATTCATGAACACGTAACGTTTAAATATTACATATCCATATTGACCAATGTATATGAGTTATTAAAAATAATATTGGAAAAAATATAAGGTCCAAAAAATAATGAATGTTAATCTTATTTAGCTAGCTTAAAAAGAAATCATGTCTTACGTAAATCTTCAGATGCTTTATTATGATTTCTCGCTTTGCCCCCACTTATCGAAGTTATTTAACTATCTTCTTGATTTTTTGATTAATTAGCATATGCTTGATATAATTAAGTAAAATGATAAGATCGTATTTATTTATCTCTTTATCTCCTCTTAAATTAGATTATTTGAACCTGAAGTACAATTGTCAAGTTTTTTTTCAAAAGTTATTTGTCAATTTGAAAAATAAATTTACTAATATGATGAAGTTGAAAAAGAATTAAATTGAATATTTTCTTTAATCAGTTAATTAAGAGCTCCATTATTTATTTATTTTAATATAAAAATTTTGCTGCCTTTGTTAGTTTTCAAATTACGGTTAGGCTATTCTATTATAATTTTGGTCGCTTCCTTCCATTACATTATATGCACATCCTCTTAGGAAATATGACACATAAACATTTATATTTTTAGTATTATAATATTATAATATTGTATACTGTAAATGTAATTGATTTTGATGTCCTAAATATTAGAATTTTCTGTGTAGTCGTTCAAATAAGGAAAACTTTAATAAGTAAAGTTTTAATTGACTTCAAAATGCTAAATATTAGGAAAATAATTAAATGACTATTTTATCTAGTGTGAACTATATTTTAAAAGGGTAAAAAAGACGAACAACATTTTGCTAAGGGCTTTCGTGCTTTTAATATAGTATAGATGAGTCATTAATAAACTTTGCATATAATGAGTGATGTCATTAAAGTGGAATTTTATTGTTGAATGATGTTATAAACTTATTATGTTTCCTAATCTTAAGTTGTATTGGAACTTATTTTATTATGTTAGAATTTGACATATGTTAAACTAGTTTTTTTATTTTATTTTGAAATTGTGTTATACTTATGGTTCTAATTTACTTGTTTTAGTAGTATTGACTTGTTATTTCACATTGCATGTTGTTCATTTTTTAATTAGAATTGATATATTAGTTTTGTCAAACATAAATATTAATTTATTTTATCAAACATGCATTCCCTGATGTTCTTACAAAATGTATGTTTTTAGTTTCTTATAATTAATTAAGCTAAATATTAATTAGTTTGGAAAATATATATCAATTATTTTTATAATATTAGTTATAAATATACGATTACTAATTAATGTATATTCAAGAAAAAATATGCATCTTATATACCAAATCTAATATCATCTGTACTTATACAAAATCATTTATAGGAATACATTTATTATATTGATTTTTAGTTTTGATAATTACTTCATTAAAAATTTAATATAACTGTGTAATTACACTTGTGCAACCGAACAGTACGCTTGTACTTACACTGTAATTACATTATGACAAACAAACATGTCGTCGTAATTACTATATTGTGTAATTACTAGGTTGCGTAATTACACTAATTTCACTTACTGGATGGCTTTCCAAACAGAGCCTTATGTATTTCTACGCCCATTTCACACGCCAAAAAAGGTTCAAAATATCAAAATTACTTTTTTCTAACACGTATAAGACTCGTTACTACTCATATCTTTTTCTGGTATACCCCAAAGGAGGTGCATAGAGTCAGCGAAAGCAGTGATAGAGGGCAGAAAAAAGGGTTTCCACTTTTCAATTGCAAAAACGACTTAGTTGGTGAGGAACTTTGAAGAAGAAAATCATCTAGCTAGACAAGTTTTGGGGGCAAAGACCTTTGTAAAGTCCAAAAAGACATTCCATTGCACACTTCAAATAGGTTGGTGAAATTGGTGCTACTAATTTACTACTTAGTAAAGACACAAGTGAAAGGAAATTAATTAGGTGTATATTTGTGGAGGGACAAAGTTAACACAAGTATTGAATTTACAGGACAAGTAGGTGAAAGTGGAGAAAGTGAAATTTCATACAACAAGGACATCTTCTGAAAAACGAAAGCAAGTGGTCCAATTGATTCAAAAAACTTAAAAGGGTTTTGCTTCATTTTTTCAAGAAATGGGCATATCATTACACCTAATTGGTAAGTGAAGAAGAAAAACTCTGCCCTATGGGGCCATGCATGTCATTCTGCAAAGTTGGTTTCCAGATTCTTGGCATTGCCTTGTATAACAAATAAATAAAATCTCTATCTGCTTCTCCCATAATTGGTAATTGGTAATTGGTAATGACATTACCTAACACTCTTATATAAAAATGTAACCATCTTCTTAATCATTAAATTTTATAGAAAGCCAGAGCGGACTAAGCAAAGAGATTCTCCAACTGTCTTCCAACTACATTGAAAGTTTGACTTAATTAAGCAAGAAAATTATACAACATATATTGTTGTTAGCCCAAATTGTTATTTAGTCCTTCTATCTTATTCTTTTCTTCTTCTTCTTCAAATGGAAGATACACAGTACACGTGTCCAACATGTAAATGAAGTCTTGCAACTGACTTCTATTTGTTTTCAAATTACAAACATAGTACTCCGTATTTATTTATTTAAAATTTTGAATACGTCTCTTCATATATCATTCCTATGATTACGTCAACGATGGTAGATAATTGTGCATCTACGCCAAAAGCAAGCAAACTTATAGATTGATACTCACTAACCACTTCTTTTAATCATTTGATTATAAAATGTCTTTATGCAAGGTAAGCAGTAAGAGCAAGGCTTGATTTATTTAATTAAGGAGTGATTTATTTGAATGTGACATAATCTCATTATTTCAGAAAAAAGGTTATAAAGAGTGGGGCACAATCCCTATCAAGAATTGCCAAGTGGGCGTTAAGCGGCAGATGGGCGGCTTACAGTGCAAACTTGACAGGAAAAACATATGCGATTATTAAGAATTATTAGGCAAACTTAACAGCAATAGAGGATAGTCAATTTTTCTTTTTGGAAAAACAATAAAGGGGGAATAAAACAAAGCACTAAATTTTCAGACGCAAAATCTAGTCTAGATATAAAAAAGTGCCGACCAGAGTTCCTTGTGACAGTGGTTTAGAATCAGCTAAGGCTGTTGAAGTTCTTCACGTCACCTTATATATACATACTATATGTATAATTGATATTTCACTATTATGGCTTTAAGCACTTCATAGAGGGTGGGAGTCTTGGAATATTTGTATAATTGACATTTCACTGTCATGGCTTTAACTACTTAATAAAGGGTGGGAGTGTGGAAGGGCTTACCATAGACTTTGGTTACTGTCCGAAGCTCAATGACTCAACTAATCTGAATTTGCATCGGATAGACTATTAAAGAGATAAACGATTCATATAAAAAATTCTCTATTCTTAGGTCTCAAACTCAATATCTGTTTAAATGTAA